CTGTGGGATGCGAGAACTTGAATATAGACCCAGCTGTTTAGAGAACTTAGAATGCACTGTGCACACAATTTATCTATTTATTAAACAGATGTTTAACTCCCTGGTGTGTGTCAGGCTCTGTTTCGTGCTGGGAATATAGCATTTAAATAAAACCAACAAAAATCTTGGCCATAGTGGCCTTTACATTCTAGCAGAAAGAAACAAACTAAACAAATACATGGAATGGGTAGAACATGCAGTGGTGATATGGCTGGAGAGCAGGTTAGGGAATCCCAGGGTAGGTTTGAGGTGTTATACTTTTTTTTTTTTTTTTCCTTGCAGTTTCTGGCCGGGGCTGGACTTGAACCTGCCACTTCCAGCATATGGGGCCGGTGCCCTACTCTTTTGAGCCACAGGCACCGCCTGAGGTGTTATACTTTTAAATGGGGATGGATCAGAGGAAGCATCAGTAGAAGATGATAATTGAATAGCAACCTGAAGGAGATGGGAGTGAGAGCCATTTTTATAGGTCAGGGCAATGAATGGCAAGGGCCCATCTGTGATGGGGGAAGTAGGAGGGAGGGAGAGGTGTGGGAAATGTGACTGAAGCAAGTAAGTGGGGGCCATTCGTGGATGGTGAGGTTGGAGAGGCAGTGGAGTCCACACAGCTATAGCAAAGACTTAAGCTTTTAACTAATTGAAATGAGGCCCTGGAAGGATTTTCTGCAGATGAGTGATGTGATCGGACTTAGGTTTTTTGCATAATTTAGTAGATTGACTTGCCTCTGATTTTCTACTTTTAGTAGAGACATGGACTCGCTCTTGCTCAGACTAGTCTTGAAACTGTGAGCTCAAGCAATTCACCTGCCTTGGCCTCCCAGAGTGCTAGGATTATAGGGTGAGCCACTGTGCCTGGCCCAGAGTATTATTATTATTTTTAATTGCTTTTTATTAAATCATAACTTTGTGCATTGATGCACTTACGGGGTTCAGGGTACTGCTTCAGTATGAAATGTTTAGCAGAGTATTATTTTTTATATTTTTTGTTTTCTTTTATTGAGGATACAAAGAATTAGGTTACAGTGTCCGCATTTGTTAGGTAAAGTCCCTGTTTTTTTTTTTTTTTT